ACTTTTAAACAGAGAAAACGACAGTTATTGCTAACAATAAAGACCCTTAGGAACCGGCTTTTTGCATAATTGGTGCTTCTTTTGCGCCTGCGACTTCAAATCTGAGGGAATTGAGCATTTCAGTACTAATCGGATAGTGACAAAGCGAGTGTGGAAATTGGAAAGGCACCCAGCTTCCGTTGCAGGCCGAAAGTACACCACAGTTTAACGGCCTTTCCAACACTTGTCACATTTTCTTAGGAATCTGACTGCTTACTGAGTCGTGAAAAAGCAGCCCAAGCGATCTTCACTCCAGTACTTTCTTCATCAAAACCAGCATTCTCTGTTATGCCCCGCGCTCGCGATCATGTTTCACATCTTTATGTCACTTATAAAATTTATATGCCACAGCGTTGAGGAGACGGACGTGGTACTTTCTGTTCGACGCTTTAAGTAGCGCTGACGATACTCCGAAACTTTTGCCGATTTCCACGCTCGCTTTTTAACTGGAAATTGTGCCGTACGTTTAGCGTGCATTTTGCGTTCTAGCTGTTGCATAATCTTCTCTGCGTTATCACACTTTGTTCAGGCTACCAGTAGTCCATTGGGCCCAAATTTAACTGCACACAACGTGGCACAGGAAAAAATAGTGAGAGGATGGCTATTTTTTTATATCACGGTTGTGATTTACTTTGGGTTTTTTGTATTAAATTTCCCAGAACTATTTAAGAACTGGTAAGTTTTTTGTAGGTTGGGGATGTGTTCCTTTGGTTTCAATGGGACACACTGCTTCTGGAATCTGGCGCGCTGTGCATTCTGTTAGCTCCATTGCCTTTCATCGGCCCCTCACCTGCCGACAACTTGTCTTTGTTTTTAATGCGCTGGTTGATATTTCGGTTAATGTATGCATCGGGAATTGTTAAGCTAACAAGTCGCTGCAATCTTTGGTGGAATCTTGCAGGTATTTTCTATTTTTTGGAAAAAAAAGATTGAATTTTTGCTTAATTAGTCTCACAATGAAGGCAGTTGACCCAGAACATCACAGATTTTCTGAGAAGCAAAGAGTTTGTTGAGCATGGCGCGTTTCGCGTCGTTCTGCAAATACGAACAGCAGTGTACTTGAATCGGCTTTTTTTTT